ATATTCGGAAACGCACTAACAACTTTTAAATGTTTAAGCTACAATGCAAGGAAAAATTAATTATATTGTAATATTAAAGCGATATATTAAGCGATGATACCTCTATTTTAAAGTCTTTAAGATTATTCATAGTTTTTGGAGTTTTAAGAGCAACTTTTAAATTCATTTTTTCCCATTGATATTTAGAGATTCTTCCACATCCACCTTCACATACTTCTTTTTGGTCAGTGAATTCTTCAAATTTATGATAATTAACATCCCCAGCTTCTTCAAGCCATTCTGAATGCTTTGACATACTGATAACTCATTTTAAGATGAATTTTAGTATATATATAAATATTTGCTGCATTAAAGTTCGATTCGAATCATGTGTAATTTGCGTAACTATTAAATTATGCCATATATAGATAATTTATTGTTCTGTGCTTTTTTGTTTGAATATTTTAGAATTTAGTGAAAATAATATTTCTGCATTATATCTAATTTGGCAAAATTAAGTTCAAATTTATTAAATCATTCAATTGCCTAATTTGATAAAAATTCTTTGCGCCTTAAGCATTAAATATAATTTTTTTAATGTTCTAGTATTTGATATTTCAGTATTTCGAGTATTATTTTCTAATACGTAATAAAAAAATTATACTTTATTCAAAGTTCATATAATTTCACATACTAAGGGTATTCTCAAGCACCTAAATTTATAGATCGAAGTCCAATTTTTAATTAGTAGAAAATATCGAGTTCATTATCATAATGAAAAAAAAGACCATCTTTTTAGTCATAGAGTTGTGCTGATTTGCTAAAGTTTAAACCGTATCACATTCACAAGTAAATTTCAGCAAAGTCAAGTGTAGTTACTTTTGCACATTTTTGATCATTAACCAATTACATAGAGAGAGATGCTTGAGAGCATCCTAAATATATGTTTTTAAAATTGAAATTGTTTACATGAAATTCCTGATTAGAGATTATTTATTGTTTGAAGAACATTACGGGTATATATGTCGTGCCTCAGACCAACTCTTGCCTCAGATGTCAATCGGCCTAAGTTAGGAGAAGGATTTGGATCAGTCATACAACACGGTTATTTCCGGTTGTTTTTCTGATTGACCAATCAAAATTCACAATTTGCGAACACACACACAAAACTGTCACTATGTATCTGTTGTACCTCAGAGCTTGCCTCAGATGTCGACTTTTTGGCCTGCACTAACTGATCGACATTGATTGACCTAAATTAAGTTGGTTCTTCGAACTCAAAATGTCTCCATTTGTGTAACCAAAGTTACACGAGCCAATTTCATATGAAAATTGAGTTTAACGAAATCCTGTCCGTCCTCTTTCAGTGTTTGAATAAAAAAAAAAAAACAAATTTTGGAATGATTTATCATAAAGACAACACCTATCTTAACAGAATACAAGCAATTATCTCAGCATGGCACCTTGCTATAAGTCTCTCTCTTACTATTTATTCATTTTCTTTAATGTGGTCAAAGCTCGTCAAAAACTGGATGTTGCATAGAACTTTATTTGTAATTATAAACATCGTTAATGGAATAGTATTTATTAATGAAATAGTATTGCTTGCTCAAGTTATAGTAAGCTATACATGCTCGGACGTTAATATTCTAAATTCGGATTGTGCAGACGTATTAAGTCTTGAAAGGTGTTCGGATTATTTGGCCGTTCATTTATATTATATATTTGATACTATTAGGCAGTTCTGTTATTTAATTATTAAGCCTGGTATGCTATTTCTCGCATATCAACGATGTTATGCAGTCTATAAATCATTTTTAGGAGCTGGATGTCAATTAGCTAATTATTTAGTTATTATATCTCGTATATTGCTATGGCTTGCTTGGTGTAGCGTCGCCATTTACAATTATATTAAATGTCAAGGATCATATTGTGACCCTCAATGTGAATTCATACCTATAACTTTTGTAATAAATGATGCATTCGCGACATTTTACCGTGCTTACTACATTTTGTTAGAACTTCTCTTTTATATAAGTCTTTTTAGAAGGAATCAACCAGACAGTCTTGGCGATGAAATTATCCGAGATATTAGTAGACAAAAAATTCTATTTGGTATTGATATAATACAACTCTTAGCAATGTGCGCTTATCGAATAGTAGGACTGGTATTAAAAGGAACACCCACCTATACATATCTGGAGCTTACTAGTGTTGCATTTACTGTATTTGTAATGACTAGGTTTTGGCATAGGGTTATAGACTTATTTGCAGGCCAAGCTCTTTCAAATATTTAAAAGTATATCTTATGAGTAATTTTTTACAATGGCACAATTTTTAAGTTTGAATAACTTTCTATTGGTGAATTTTTTGTGTAATAAATATTTGAAAA